TAATTTTCATCCTAAGACTTTATAGTTTATTTAACATATTATGCAATAGAAAAATATTTTACGATGAGTTCATTTTTGAAACATAACAAAAAAAAGTGATAAAAGCACTATCATAGTTGACAATAATATACAAATAAATAACATGTCGAAATTTTAAAGAATAACTAATATAATTTTATTAAGTTCAACTAAGTTTAATAACCTAATTAAATTATGTAGATGCCATCATCTACTTAAATTATTAAAGTTAATAATTCTTTGTGAAATTTTCACATGTGCTACGTGATTTTAACTTATTTACAACTCTACCATATTTATATGAATAATTGTGTCTTTACCTATAACATCTTATTTATTTATATTAATGCCTAAATCATTTACCATATCCTTTCAATCATCTCTTTTTTTATGGAATTGATTAGGAGAGAGAATGAAAATATACTTATAATAACTCATTTATTTCCTTAATTCGCGCACCTTGCAAGTTTTTAATAGAGAGAGATTAAAACATGTATTGTAATTCATGCAGCTGTCTAGTGGGTATATGTTGCGTTTATGTTAGTATATATTCAGTATATGTTACAAAGCATGTCTTCCATCATTTTTTTTTTTTACTCTTATACATAAAAATATATATAGTTTATAAACATATTATAATATGTTATTTATATTCCTTATACCAATAAATCTTCTAATATACTTAACATATATTCCTTATATACACAACATATACCGAACAATCTACAAAAAAATCTTCTAATATACTGAACATATACTCCATATATGTTTTATATATATTTTCGATGATTTTACGCAAATCGTAATGATGCTATATGTTTTGTATATATTTTCGATGATTTTACTAAATATAAACTATACATATACCGAACATATACTGAATATAAACGATATATATAATAAGAAGACGATGCAAACACAATACAATATGAGGGGGATGAAAAATAAACCGAAAATATACTGAATATAAACTATACAAAGTAAAAAAAATTCACACACACAAAACACCAAATCCAGATGAAATCATTAATCAAATATGCAAACCGTACTGATTGATCTACACATACTGTACATATACTCCAATTCAATATAATGTACATGTACTCCTATTCTTGATATTCTTAACCTGAAGTTCCATGCCCTCCAACGCGGCATCTATGGCGGACAAATCTCTAATGTTGCTAGCAGGATACACTGCTCAGTTTCTGGGAAAAAAATGATATAAGGATCATTCATTATATTGAAAAAAAAACTCGATTGTTGAGGTAAATTAACGTAACCCAAATAGGTACTGAAAAAATGTTAGAGAGAGATTACTTTTACCTTCAAGGATGTAAGGATCATTCATTAATATTATTTTAGATCAGGTTTACATCATTGTCTGTTGAATGCTGATTAGTCTGCAAATGGAAAATCGATGAAGAAAAGTAGGAAGAGACGAAACAAGAGAAATTTTTCTGGGTCCCACATGTTACATCTCGTTTGTTTGTTTGTTGGATTTTTTTTTTTTTTTTTTTTTTT